AGATAATAATGACAGCAATAATAGCAATAATTAATTTTATATTTAATTTATTATTATTGATTATTGTTTTATTATATTTACTATTATTAATAGTATACTGAAGATCAAAACAGCCTTTATCCTGTGCCCAAAAGTGTTTTTGGTAGGACCTGTTAAGAACCTCATTATGTAGACAAGGAAACTGAGGTACAGAGGAATTATGTAACTTGCCCAAGGTTATATAAGCAGCATGTACAGATAGATTAGCATTCATGTTTGTCTTCTACTGCATCGTTCCTAGTGCTTAAAAGAGATTTTGATTCAATTTCATTTAATGAAGTAATGATTGAATAATGTGTATGCAACCCAGATTAGGATTGTTCTCAAAATCTAGAGATTTCTTTAGCTATATGTGCTTAGCTCTGCATTCATGCATCAATAATTCTGAACTAGTCAATGTTGACAGAAAGATACCAATAGCATTGTGTCAACAAAATGGGAACTTTAGGTAATGAGAATTTTAGAATTCTAGTGAGGTATATGCTTAGTATCCTGAAAGATATTTACCTGCAAAGTTCAGCATGGGGTGCTGCTACCATATTAGAAAGAGAGAAAACAGATTGATGATACCTGACTGAACTATGAGGGTAGTCTGATATAACAATATTATCAAAGCGTGAGATATTAAAAATGTGCAGATACCAGTAGTATGGGGCAATGCATCTTGTGGCTGGTCTGACTACATCTGGTCATACATGATTAGGTCTGGCTGAAAAAACTGCTACCTAACTTTTTCTTGAAACAGTGTGATATATTTATGAGCTCAGCTGTGACAAATTTAGGAAGGTATAGGCAGAGAAAATAACGCAACAATTAACAAAATGCTCCCATCATGCATTTCAAAGGTAGTAATTGTTGGAATTCTATGATGTATAAAGATAAATTAACGATGTGGATAAAGAGAAAACATACTCACTTTTATGATAGTCCTTGATGGATTCAAGTCACAGTTTAAACTTAAATATTTTTCTGGTTACTATAATAAGAGAAACAATGTTTTAGGTAGAAAAAGATTCTTTCATTTTTACACATTTTATAAAACTAGTTCACTTGTTAATATTTAATTAATTAAATTTATTGGGGCCACATTGGTTAATAAAATTTGCACACTCACTATTTAAAATTTAAAGAGTTTGTTCAGAATCTCCCTTGTCATAAACTATCCATTTCTCAATCAACAATCCAATCCCAAGGATGAGAAAATCCAAAGAGCATACTTCCAAAAATATTTGTTTTGGAATTTAAATGTCATGTGTTTCATGATTTTGCTGATACTGCTCAGTGATACTGATTTTCCAGAAAGCTTTTCTCTAAAATAAACAGACACATTTTATGTATTTTTGAGTACAATGTTCTAGAAGAGTTTGTTTTTAAGGGAAACATTATAGAAATATCTCTGGAGACATAAATTAGTATCTACAGTGCAATTAATTTTGGCAACACTTTTTAATTGTGTTCCCTTGGGGGCCATTAGGTATTGGAGGAACATAGAATTTACCTATAATATCAAGCTTTGCATGAATCAAAGGGAAAGACTGACGAAAGTAGTAATCTTTCTTGATTATTTTTCAAATTATTCTGATTATTCTTTCAAAAGAAGAGACTCTCTGTGGCTCTCTTTTAAAAATCAATGAGAAAACATGAATTAGGAGGTCAGAATTTAATTGAGACCTAGAAGAAATTCCAAACTAAGTGATTCTACAGTATTATCAAGGACAAAGGCCACTCCCCAGCGCTATCATCACTGCTTTAGCTCTACCTCAGATCATCAGGCATTAGATTCTCATAGGAGTACTGGTCCCTGGTGCCAAAAAGGTTGGGGACCACTGGACACCTGTCAGGATGGCTATCACCAATAAATTGACAAACAAGTGTCAGCCAGGATGTGGAAAAAAGGGAACCCTTGTGCATTGTTGGTGGGATTAAATTGATGCAACCACTATGGAAAACAGTATGGAGATTCTCCAAAAAGTTAAAAATAGAACTACCATAGGATCTAGCAATCCCACTTCTGGGTATTTATATGAAAAAATCAAAAACACTAATTTGAAAAGTTATATGCCCCATTTCGTTCATTGTGGCATTATTTACAACTGCCAAGGTATGGAAGCAACTCGTATGTCCATTGATAGATGAATGGATAAAGATATTTTATAGAGAATATATATATATATACACACACACACACTCATATACATGTATATATGTGTATATATATACCAATAGAATGTTTTTTATATATAGAATATGTATATGCATATATATATGCAGTGGAATATTACTCAGCTATTAAAAAAAGAATGAAATTTTGCCATTTGTGAAAACACAGGTAGACCTAGAGGATATTATGCTAAGTGAAATAAGTGAGACAAAGAAAGAAAAATACCCTGTGATTTCACTTATGTGTCAAATCCAAAAAACAAAACAAATGAGCAAACAAAACAGAAACAAACACTTAGATACAGAGAAGAAATTGATGGTTACCAAAGGAAAATGGAGAGGGAGGATGAGTGAAAAAGGTGATGTGGGCCGAGAAGTATAAATTGCCAGTTATAGAATAAGTCACGGTAATGTAATATACAGCATAATATACAGCATAAGTCACGGTAATGTAATATACAGCATAATATACAGCATAAGTCACGGTAATGTAATATACAGCATAGGGAATTATCTATCTATCTATCTATCTATCTATCTATCTATCATCTATCTATCTATCATCTATATCTAATATCATCTATCTATCTATCTATCTATCTATCTACCATCATCATCATCGTCATCATCTATCTTCTTTCATCTATCTATATATGAGAAATGCTCAGAATTTACAGAATTCTCTTATGCAATAAAATGCCAACAAGGAAGTAAAGAAAACATTATTCCAGATTTATAGAAAAGTTAAAAAGTATATATTATAGAATATTTATAGGTCTCTTCTACAATCTGATTTCTCTCTAGTAGTATATATTAAAAGTAACTATAACTGAAGAAGACAGGATAGCTTAGTGGCTAAAAGAATGTGGTTTGGAATCCTGGCTCAACTACTTTAAATAGATTCTTCAAGATATGTGCATGAGATGGTTTTACTGTTGGCTCTACAATGGAAGTATTCCTCAAGGGCTCACCCGATATACTCATACTCGATTCTGTAGGATGGAGAATTATTAAACAGTGCCCTTCAAAATGATGAAATCTTTGAGCTGGTCAGAAATAAAGTACTGTAATGTCTATGTAATTTTAATTTTCTTTTAGGGATAAGGACTCAACAGATGTATCCTTGAAAGGGAGGGAAATGGTGTAGCCATAGCATGTACCACTTTATAATAGTTTCTTGCATTCAGGAAGATGGGATTAGGCATCGGATTTAAAAAACCTTTATTTTGTCATAATTTTAGATTTAGAAGACGTGCCAAAATAGTAGTTTTTGTATATTTTGCTCAGTTTCCACTAAGTGCATCATCTTATATAGCTACAGAACATTATCAAAACTAAGAAATTAACTTTGGTATGATACTAATAATTAAATTAAAGGCTTTATTTGGATTTCATCAGATTTTCTATCAATGTCCTTTACCTATCGAGAATGAAATCCTGAGTCTTTAATTGTATTAAAGATATTATTCCTTAGTTTTTTCCCAGTCTATAAAAGTTCTTTAGTCTTTAGTCTTTAGTCATGGTTCATGACCTTAATATATCTGAAGAGTTGTGATCAGGTGTTTTGTAGGATTCTTCCCAATTTTGTTTGTCTAATGTTTTCTCACGATTAAGTTGGGGTTATATATTTTTATGGAGAATACCACAGATGTGGTATGTCCTTTTCAGTGTATTATATTAGGGAATATATGATATCTATGTGTCTTATTATTGATATTCACTTTGGTTAATGAGTATCTTCCCATTCTCTCTTCATAAAGATTACCCTTTGAAATTATTAAGTATTTTGGGGAGAAATACTTTGATATCTGTATGCCTGGTTGCATATTGTGGCAGAGGGGTAACATTGTATGACTTTATGATTAAATCGCAGTCTTTAAGTGGTCCTGTGTCACTGGGCCTTCATAAGTGTTTCTAGTAAAATCTTTTCCCTTGGAGTATAGG